TTACAATGCTTTCTGGCATCTGAGTGCTAGATATCTCTATAATGCCTTTGATTTTAAAAATAAATTTTTTTCCCCCAGGGATTTGCAAATCATGCAAGAAGCCACCACCATTTATATTAACCAGTTTTTCTTTCTTAAAGGATTCACTCCTGAGTTAGCTCCATTTAAAGGATTTTCTTTAACTTTTTGTGTATTTCTTATGTATCTCTTCTGCACAGGGCCAATAATAAGAAGTGGACAATACAGTATTTGCTTCATTGTGTGGGGGAAAAAAACCTTTGTTAAATATATGGATGCAGACGGCTTGATGAAGATCTTAATTTTGTTTTTGGTTTAAAATAGTGTTTTTTCTTTCTTTCTTTCTTTCTTTTTTTTCTTTTTTTTTTTTGAAAATGTACAAAATATCTATCACTACTGATAGGAGGTTAATATTTCTGTGTAGAAATGAAAATTGGTTTGTTTTTAGTATTTAGTGTAGATGTACACATTCCAGCAAATGTATTTGCAACTATTATGTGGTCAATGCTTTGTGATATAAATGTACTTTTTTCAATGTATACTTTCACTTTTAAAATGCCTGTTTTGTGCTTTACAATAAATGATATGAAACCTCCTGTGTCGGTAAGTTGGATATGTGGGTATTTAAAGGATTCATAATTTCTTAGCAATGATAAATTAAGATACATATACACAAATATATAAGCTTTCCCCATGAAATATTAATTTGAGTTTTTAAACACTGGCATGTTTTTTTCCCCCTTGCAGTATAGTAGTAGATTGGAGGATCTTTTCCATTTATTGTATTTGGCTGTTTCAGCACAAGTAATCCTGATATCTTCATTTTTTTCCCCTTCTGTTTGATTAAAAACTGCATGTGTGTACAGTGATCTTTTGGCATACTTCCATTGCATTAACAGTGAAATTTCCTTTTATACATGACCACTGTTTCAGACCTGTACTGCTGCTATAACAGTTAACCTTTCTGTTTTTAATTTGATAATTACTTGATTTCCAAGACTGTTTCAGTTTTCGGATAGTGAATATGAGTAGTCTATAATAAGAACAGTTTTTTCATGTAAAGCAGCTCTTGCAAATGTATACAATATTAGAGTGTTTCTTTCTAAATTTAGGGTAGAAAAAGTAGTAGTGTGCAAAAAGTATAGCTACAGTGCATCTGCCATTGAAACATTATTGGGGTATGAAAATGTTCAAGTTTTTTTTTTCTTTTTTTTCTTTTTGCAGTATAGATAAGCTTTGTTTTGTAAATGCACAAGTCCAATCATTGAATCAACTTAATTTTTTTATGTACTTAAAATCATTTTATTACTCTATAACACTCATGCTGAAGTTCTGATATTTTGTTGAAATCCATTGTTTTACTCTTTGCATATTTGTTGGCTCTTTGCATATTAATATATTAGACTACATGCAAATACAGTCTGTCTTGCCATTGTCTGTTGAAGTGCAGGTTTGATCCAGCCAGTATAGAACTAGCTCTGTAGGGGTGAGGAGGACTGTGCTGTGTATCATCCTTGATTGTGTTCCTTCAAGGAGCATTGCACTGTAAGTACATCAGAATGACAAATTGATGAACTGCAACAGTATCTTTTTGTCAATGTTCCACATAATGCAAATGCCATACTTTGTGTGAATATTATGTTGGAATACAGTGCTTATATCTTGGAAAACCATAACTGCTTCTTAATTTAACGTAGAATAATTCATAGGTCTGTATTTTTTTTTAAAGTGAGCTTAATGGGTAAGTATTTTTGATATGCTTTAGCTATAGCTAAAGAAAACTGATCATTAACAAAGTTGAATAGTATTACTCATTGGTGCTCCTAAAATATATTGTTTTTCAGTGTAAAACATGCATATCTTATATATTAATATGAAAGACTTGAAATGTATCAGACAGAGTGGTTTTCAGTTTGCAAATATTAAGCAATGTAGTGGTTTTAACACCATTTCCTATATATATATATACTAGTTCTTTCATTGGTGGGGGAGCACCATTTGCTGTTCTGAATATACTATAAAGAAAGATGTGCAAGGACATAAATGTTGAGATTACTTATAGGGTAGAAAATAGCAGTACAGTTCATTGTAGATGTTTTGAAATGTTGTTTGACTGTTTTATAGAACCTAGAGTGACTTCCCTTACCCTTATTTAGATATGGATATGTAGTTCTAGCTTCAAGTTTAATAGTTAAGGAGTTATCTGTTATCTTTAAGAGTAGGGTATTGATGTGAACAGTTTCAGTATTTTGCATGATACTGTTTTATAGATGAACTTTTAGGAAAGTGGTACATTTATTAATTAAACTGAAGAGATAGTTCAGTTGGATTCAATATCATAACTCACAAATTGGAGGCTGTTGATTTTGATTCATTTAAGGTTTAAAATCTTTATTAATTGCAAACAGTGCAATTATTTATACTTCACAGTGCCTTCCCAGACCTTCCACCTTAGGTTCTGCTGCAAAAAGCAACAGGTAAGCACAACCTAAGGACATATATAAATAAATATTTCAGTACATTAATGTTGTCCCTGTGAGGTTTTTGTGGTTGTGTATTCAAAAGCAATCTGCTACTGCTTCCCCAAAGTGTATTTTGTTATTTATGCTACCATTTCAGTGGAAAGTCTTTAAGTTGTTCAAACAACTGTTTACATTTCTGGGTAATGTTTTTTATTTTAATTTTTTAAATTAAAATGGGAAAAAATGATGAGTAGATTGCTGCTGTAATTAAACTACATCCGAACTTTTCCCAAATATAGAAGAATTGTTAAAATTTTAAAAAGGACAGTTACATAGTTTTCAGGATTTAGGAAATCATTTGGTCAGACACTTCAACAGCCTTCACAATCTGTTTATGATTGACAAGACATTTTCTTTGCCCTCCAAAGCTATGGAGTCTTTATTTTTTTTCTTATTCTTGAACTGTAGTAATTCAGTAAGGACATTATGGGTCAAGAATTTCATTATGACTTTTTTTTTTTAGACAATTCAGTTTTCATAACTTTTTTATATACACTGAAAAAGGAAAAAATTATAAGAAATACTGGCAGTAAGTTTTGGTAAAGGCATGTGCATCAGTGAAATGTTAACTGTATAGCAAATAACCTTTCATAATCTGTATAGCAACCAATATTTTTCTGGTTTATAATACTTTAATAACTGACGCTGCATTTTATTTTTTGCCAGTTTAAAATGTTTGTGTGTTCTTATAGATGATTTTAACTGGTACATATTTTGAGTTAAGATGAATGTATTAAAGCAGCATCATATCAGTTTTGTTTATTCGATTTCTAAAATGTGCTGATCCTTTTAAAACTCCTGCTTATCTTTGCAACAAAGAAAAATATTCAAAAATACTGCCTTCATTTTCACACACAGTGCTGAAGATGCTGCAAGCACCAAATCATAGCTCATAAAATCAGGTCCTGAGATAGTTACCCATAAGAGGAATCCTTTGAGTGTATGCCATTGGTGAGCCGATGAGCATGGACCATAGAAGGGCTCAATGTAGAAGGTAAAATTGGCAAATCATAATTGAGAAAAATGAAATGTTTTCCCATACATAATATATGGTATAGGGTGTAATGTACCTGCTTTGATCACTTTTCATTTTAAAGTGCTATTCACTTGATCTTAAATGTTCCATGAACTGTTAAATTTTGAAAGTCATGTAGTTATTGCACCACATTTATGTGTGTGTATGTGTGTTTTAATAGTCAATGATAGGTATGTTAAGATTGATATTAAGGAGCTCTTTGAACCTTAAGAGCCTGTCAAGTTTTGGTTAGTTGTAGTTTGCATTTTTATAAAACAAAATACATATGAATGCTAATAGATATTGGGGCATTGTTTCTATCTCATGAGAATTTTTTTTTATTCATTATCATAAGCCTTCACTGATACTGCAAGTATTTTTTAAATGGCGCTAATCTTACCCTTGAAATAAATGGAAAGCAGAAAAGGTGAGCCAGTTGATTTGAATGCAATGGATGTTAGGAGTGGTAGAAAGAATGTTTAGCTTGAAATTGATTTATTTTATTTAGCACTTAAACTTGACAATGTGTTTTTGTTTTTAAGATTTCTTAGTGTGGTAGTACTTAGAATTCTTACGGTTTGATGTTTCTTTTAGAAATGGGAAGTATACTTTCATTTTTAATTAATGAAAATGGTTTTAATACTAAAACTAGTGGTTTAATACTAGTTGTTTATGAGCATTGTAAAATACATCCTTAGACAGATACCTTAGTAGTTAATTACAGGAGTGGGTTTGGATAGGAGTGAACAGAGTACCTTAAGAGGGAAATAGAAATGTATTCAAAGTGATAACATTTGTTTGAATACTCTGCCAGGAGAACCACTTCTGCCTGCAAAGTTATGTTGTCTAGAATAAGGTTGTAGAAATTACTAATTAATGAAGATGTCTTTATTTTCTGAAAATTCTGCCTCACTTTAAAATGTATTTTAACAATACCTAGTTAAAGATAATTTTGACTCTGAAAATAACCTTAGTTTTTGTTTAGTCACTTGAGTTTTCTTGCCACAGTAAACTTTTGAGGGATTTTTTTAAATTGGTGCTTTTAAGAAAGCAAATAAGTCCCAGGATTTTATTTTCTTCAGTGATACCCCTATAGAAACTCTTAAATGTATTTGCACATATATATATATTTTTTCTTATGCATGCTCAATGCATTTTCGTCCTGAGAAAAGTGTTCTCTACAGAAACTACCCGTGTAAAAAGAAGATTGGCTTAAAATGGCTACTGTGATGGGAACAGTGTCTTAGGGAGATGCAGCTTGGACTTGAGGTAAATTGAATACTTTACAAACTGTGGTTTAGAGTTTGCTTTAATACCATTGTATGTAAAAGGGTACATGATTGCTGTAATTTTGTATTGATCATGGTTTCCTCAATAAAAAAATAAATGTACATTGGTGAATATTATAAGGGAATGTTCGTCTCTTTTCTAAAATACTGAAAGACTTTTTTTTAAATACAGAAGTGACTTTATTATGGGTTTACATTGTAAAATAAAATTGTCTTCCAGACAATTAAAATATAAAACAACTTGATTAGTACATGGTTGCTAATTATTTACAAACTCACTTTAAAAACTCAAAATTGAAGATTGTGCCATTTTTCCCTAAATCTAATTCTAGATCTTGAAATCTTTGATTATGTTGAAATTGTTTTCTCCTGCATGAACTATTAATACAAAGTTTTCTCATTAAAATATAATTTGTTCAGGCAAGGTCACAACATAAATTTGCTTTTATAAGCTTGAATATATATCACACACATTTGAAAAGTACGTTTGATATTCTCAACACTCAGAACTCTGTATTAGGCAGTGGTTTCCATCACATTTGCTCTGGCAGTTGTTTCTTAAAAGTCTTCAGTTTTTTTGTTTTCTCCACACACAGGGAGAAATGACACCCCTACCCCCTCATATATCTCTGCTTCAGAAAGACTCTGAAACTACAACAACCAAAATGATAAACTACTGAGGAAAAAAGCCCACTCAAATTGATAGGTTCCAAATTCCTTAACTCAGCTATTTCAGACTAATTTTAGGTGTGCATAGCTCATAAGTGTTATTCTTTCATGCAAAATATGTCCGATTTATGATTTTTTTAAACATCATTGCTGTAAACATGGGAAATACGCAGCCTTTGTATGGGTTCTGATAGAAATAATTGAGTAAATTTCCCACTTGGCCTTATTAAATTACACACCAACGTATACTGCGTAATGTGAATCTGGTGCTCATTTGAAAAGGAAGGAGGTACTTTTCAGACGAGCTTGTGTTGTGAAGACTGTTGGGGAAAGGAATGAGGAGTCAGCATAGTGGCACTTCCAGTTTCCTTTTCTGGCCCCGCCACAGAAAGGATGGATGCAGTAAGAAAGTCGGAGAGAGAGGGTGTGTGTTCCAGGGAGAGGGAAGGGGACCTAGTAGTCGTCAGCTAAAAAAGAGAGAAGAAAAGTGATTTTTTTTTTAAAGGAAAACATTTTTAAATAGAATAAAAGTTCTAGATTCAAAGAGTGATTAATTCTTACTTTCAATGGTAAGAATGCAGGTACTAGCTGCAGAGCCTTTATTGTTCACTGCTTTACACATATACTCTCCTTCATCTTCTGGGAAAGTTTCTGGTAAATAAAGACAGTAAGTTTCTCCTCTTTCAATATATTGATAGTCTTCTCCATCCTGCAATATTTCTCCTTCAAACCACCATGTAATTTCTGGTTTGGGTTCTCCTGTTACTTTAACAGTAAATCTAACTGGCTCACTGTCTACAACCGATGTGTTTTTTAGAGGCTTCTTAAACCACGGAGCTCCTGATCTGGTTTCCGCTTCATCTTCAATGGTGGAGCCATTCATGTTGCTACCCTCTTCTTCCTCCTCCTCTTCTCTTTTCTATAATAAAATAAGTGCATTCAAGTTGGCATTTATACTGTAGTACTATTTTCAGGACAGTGGTTTAGTAATAGAATTTGGAGGTAAATATATTTTTCCCCCCAAAGTAAAGAACGTGTAAGTATGCTTACTACAAAGTATTTTATAAAACATTTCAATTACTTGAAAACTATTAAAATTTTTTTTAATACCTCTTCATAAAACTTCATTGTCTTTAAAAGGTCATCTTTGGAAAATAAAGGAAATATAAGCCTGGTACCTTTTGTAGTGCTGCATCAATTTCCTTTTGTTCAAACTGCATGCGTAATAACTTTTGCTCTTCAATTCTTCTTTGTTCTTCTTCTTCTCTTGCCTTAGCCATTCGTTCAAATCTAGCTTTCATATTCACTTTATGAGTAAATGGAGCCTCACTTTTTTTTGCAGGCTTGATATCAACATCTTCTTCCTTTACAAAAATGGGCCAAGAACAAGAATTGTTGTCTAAAAACCAACAAGAACTGAGATGTTAATAGTTCTGAAGATGTCTAGGCACAAAATAATTAACATGTTTGGTTATGCCTATTTGCCACACTGCAGACATGGACATTTTCACTATCCCCCAATTTGGGAAAGATGAAAGTTTCATTTGTGAACTATTTTCTTAACTCTTGGAATCCTTTTCTCCCAGTGTAAAGATCATACATTATCTCTGGAGTCCTGGTGTATTTATTTGCCTAACCAAATCTCAGTGCTTGTTGATAATGAGTAACAGAAAAGGGTGAGGGTATGATACATTGTTAACAATTATTAAAATACTTCCTTCTCATTAGAGTCTCCATATCACTCTTCACCCTACTACATAATACAGAAATGTAATTTCTGTTATTTCCCACTTCATGGTTTCTTTCCTCGCTCTTTGTTAATAACTGAGATGAATTCCATTGAACAAATAATTTATTGATGGGCAATGGCAAAGAATGTTTTCAGGGAGAATAAACAGGAAGACAACTATTGAAAGAGGCAATGGTGGAACTTGGGGAAATCATTGAGGTGAAGTATGGTTCTGAGTCAGTCTGTTTAGGGTAAACCAGTTTGGTGATGATGAGATCACTCACTGGCCTTTTGATAGCAGTTTTAGTAGAGTGGGGTCTTATGGGTACAGTTAATCCATGGTTTCAAAAGTACTTTAGTTGTAGTCGACTCTTGGTTTCTAAACTACTTAGACTCTTGTGGGTCTATCTGGAAATGCCACCACTTCATATTTCACTGTACTATGAGGAAATTGCTTCCAGGTACCACGTGCAACCAATAAAGGAAATTTTGAAACAAGCTGTAAAATAACTGCCTGTGTAAGAAAAATCTTGGTTCATCAATGTTTTACATTAGTTTGAGGTGTTGCACCGCAGCTCCAATGAATGTAGAAGGAGGAGTTAAAAGTAAGTTGGATAGTTTTTCTGGTTCTCCTGAATCAAATTTTTATTTGATACTGGAAAGTGCTAGAACATCAGACACAACCAGAGACCTAATGGGTAAATTCTATTGTTAACGCCATTATTTAACCTTCAGTGGATAAACATAAAGCCTGACTACCATTATTGTTAATGAACAGTGTTGATATGATTGTTTATTATATTTAAAAGATAGGGTAAAAAGTACATGTTAAACAATGGTTTGCTTGCTTAACAAGCAAAGTATTAAACTGCAGTTTTAATCTCAGCAGGCTTTTCTGAGACTTACATGGAAAGAAAAATGGACCCCCTTTTTCAGACTTAAAACAGTTCATGTTATTCTTTGCTTACAAAATAAATCCTCAAGATAGGATGTTTCAGCAGGCACAATAACTGCTATTCTGACTGAATCCCTCCTGGTTAATAACTTGCCTTCTGAATTTTTGCATAAAATTTTGTGTCGGGCTTCTCTGGTGGCGCAGTGGTTGGGAGTCCGCCTGTCGATGCAGGGGACCACGGGTTCGTGTCCTGATCCGGGAGGATCCCACATGCCGCGGAGCGGCTGGGCCCGTGAGCCATGGCCGCTGAGCCTGCGCGTCCGGAGCCTGTGCTCCGCAACGGGAGAGGCCACAACAGTGAGAGGCCCGCGTACCGCAAAAAAAAAAAAAGGATTCATAAGTTAACTGGGAGAAAGTTCATGAACAGTCTTTCAGTTATTGAGTACAGTTGCCTTTTGTTGAATCCCTGAAAAGCCAGGTTAAAAGTGTTTCCAGGAAATGAATCTACTAAGAGAGTCACGTTATAAATGGAATGATCTTTGTTCTAGAGTCTAGGTGCATTCTTAGCAGGGCATTGATACTCCCAGCATGTGGATATTACAGGCAACCGAAATAGGCAATGAATTTGGGATAAAAATGCAAGGAATGGTTTTGGAGTGCACCTTGTAAGATCTAGATAGAATGTCAAACTAAGGAAATTAAGTGGTTTACCTACCAAATGTTAGTACAGGTTAAGGGTTACAGGAGCTGGGACGGAATTCTTAGATTAGGTTACATGAATGAGTTAGGCCTTGAAAGGTGTCTGGAACATAAAGAGAAGGTATTTTCTAAAGGAGGAAAACAAATATCAGATGGGAGGGGAAGATCCTACTCTGGAAGTTGATTATACTCTGCCAAAACTATGCTAACACAGGATCTCGGTGACCCTTAATCTAGAGGGATATGATAGGAGGAATGTCAGGTTCTACACAGGAAACTCAATTTAGGACATCTTCATGGATTACAGAAGATCAGCCAGGTCCTAATCTCATATCCTTTTATACAAGAGTCAGTAATAGAATTAAAACCAGAAGCTACGTACCTCATTTATTTTACCTACAAATTTTATAGGACTAGGTATCACTGAGGTTTCACTATCTTTTTAAAAAAAAAGGAAGCACATGCATGCTTATTTACATTCTTTACCTTCTGTGATTTGTCTCTAAAGGATCAACTGATCTTATGGCCCATCCGTCCATTTAATGTTGGTGTTCTCCAGGGTTTTATCATTCACCTTCCAACTATTAACTCTCAAGATGGTTTTATCTACATCTATACTTTGAAACAATCTGTAGCTCCTGCCTCTTCCCTGAGCCCAGTACCTGTGTTTCAGACTGCCATTATCTTTCCAAATATAGCTCAAACTTCACAAGTCCAAAACAGTTTATTCACCCCTCCCTCCTCTCCTGACCTCCTGAATTCTCTGTAGCATCATCTAGTTTCCCCGGTAATCTTGAAGCAATGTTAGGCTTCTCAGCAACCACCTGCCTGTAACTCAGTTTTGTTAAAGTTGGGTCAATTTTTCTCCCTTGCCCCCAACTTCATGACCATCTTCCAGTTTATCCTCCATGATCCCAGGATTCTGTAAACATAAGCCTTTTATCACTCTGTCTTAAAACTGATTATTTGGGCTTCCCTGGTGGCGCAGTGGTTAAGAATCCACCTGCCAATGCAGGGGACACGGGTTTGAGCCCTGGTCCGGGAAGACCCACATGCCGCGGAGCAACTAAGCCCGTGCACCACTACTGAGCCTGCGCTCTAGGGCCCGCGAGCCACGAAGACCGTGCTCTGCAACAAGAGAAGCCACCGCAATAAGAAGCCCACGCACTGCAACGAAGAGTAGCTCCCACTTGCCGCAACTAGAGAAAGCCCGCGCGCAGCAACAAAGACCCAATGCAGCCAAAAAAAAACCCTGATTATTAACATTGTTCCCGGATTATAGTGCCCACAAGGTTAAAAAGGCCCTTCAGCTAGCTGCAACCTAGTTTTACAACATTTTATCCTATCACCTATTATATGAACCTTTCCTTTGAACCTATTTTCCACTCTGCCAGATAAAGTTTTACAACCTTCCTGTTGACTCACATTGTCCTTCCAATCTGGAATGCTTTCCCTCTTTAACTGAAACTTCTATTCAACCTTCACATTCAGCTAAAATGTCATTTTCTCAGCCCTGTTAAACATCTCCTAGGAATACTGATTCCATACTACTTGGTCCCATAACACTAAATACATAACTATCTTAGCACTTAATGACAATTTTAATTGTTTTCATACATCTCATTAGGCTGGATTTCTTGAAGGCATATTATATTCACTTTTATGTACCCAAAACTTAACATAGGGCCCAACATAGAAGATATTAAAAATAGCAATGGCATTAGTTTTTAGCTGTGACAAAATGGTTTATAACCCAGTCCCTAAGTCCTTATGTTTTTGTGTATGTTGCACTAAGTTCAGATGCATATCAATTTAATTGATATCTGGATGTTCTACAGCATCTCCATTTTTCTAGCTTGTGACCTCCCTTCCTACCAAACTCCTATGTTCCCCTATTACCTAGTATACCCAGTCACTTTGATTCCTCTCCACCACCATTTCCAAGCTAAGTCTTGCCAGTTTTGTATCCTACATACTTATCAGTCCTCTCCATTCCAGTTCTAGTTCAAATCCTCATGTTTTCTCTGACCACCCTGTACAAAATTGTACCACATAATCTATAGTCTTTTACCCTGCTTTGTTAATCTCCATAGCTTTTATTTATTACCCAATCATTGTTTCCATTCCCTGTCTCCTGCCCCACACCTGTTAGATTCTAAACACCATATGAGCGAGGACTGCAGGTTTATTCACCAATGTAGTCCCAGTGTCCAGAACAGTCTCCGGAACATAGTAGGCTTTCAAATAATTTTTTAATGCATAAGTCTAAAGCCATCTTTAGCTTCAGCATGATCTTGCGATAAAGATGCCTATTTGATAATATCATTCCATGTTTTAAAAATCCCTTCATTGCACCCCAATAAAACAAAGTTCCTTAATATGGCATCTAAGATGGGTCATCTTGCCTGTGCTTGCGTCTTCATCATCTTTTGCTGTGCTTGCACTCTACTTGTCTCAGTAATAATGAATTGCTTATAGTCCTGGAATTTGCCCATAGTTTCATCATTCTTTTTATTCACCAATCTCCTCTGAAGACCCTCCCAAATTCCCATACCTGTTTTATAGTTAAATGTATGATGAAAATCAATTTTTAGAAGAATATATGTTAAATATAACATAAAATGGCAATTTTGACAGAATAAGTTTTCCAGATCTTATTTAAACCAATATTCATAATCATGGAACTAGTCCTTAAGCTGGAATGGCCATTATAGGTCATCTAGTGAGTGCCTCCTTATTTTACATATGGAGGTACTTCAAATTCATGTCACCTGAATTCTGATTTAGGCTCTGCCACTGAATGATTGGCATGACTTTGAACATATCATATAGGCTTTGTTGGCCTCATCTTTAAGAAAGTAGGTATGAATCATCTCTGGAGTTTAATATACACTGGTTCTACTGATTCAAAGTAAAACTTGTGCCAATAAATATTTCTGAGCTATTTTTGCTAAAGTGAACCATTTGATGTTCACTGTAGGCTTTAATTCTTATAAAAGTCATTTTGGAACAATGCTAGAGTAGGGAAATCTTTTTAAAGTCTCTTAAGATCTTAATGTGCTTTTGCTATTTAGTTCCAAGATTATTTTATACACTGATGGTTAACTGTAAATTCCAACACTTATTTCAAAGTCAATGTTATTTCTGTTAAGTTCATCATCATTACTGAACTATAACTGTTAAATATAAAACAGTATTACCTCATGAAAGTTTTCTGCTTCTCGCTCTTTAATTTCAAGATCAATTGCTCTTCTTCTTGCTCGTTCTTCTTCTATCTTTTTCTGTATTTGTTTTTCAGACAATTGTCCAATTTTTTCAAACTTGCTTTTTAGATTTTTAGCTTGAATAGAGCCACTCCTTTTCAATTTGATTAATTCTTCATATTCCCTGCTCAGTTCAAAGGTTTCATTTTCTTCTTCTTCCTTCAAAAAAATTGATTTTTAATATTAAATACCAGAAAATTAGTTTGTACAATAAACCATCCAGAAAGTTCACTATTTCTTATTTGAAGCCAAAACTAAATGTTAAATAACTTCCTCCCTAAACACAGTGCCTAAATTTACTAATTAAAAGTAGTGCTACAAATTTAAGACTGTAGATAACATTTCATTTAAAATGCTATTTAATTAGGGACTATGGCTCAAAACCTCATTAACATTCCATTATAACCTGCTAAAAGTAAAATATGTACACGATTAGCTTTTACTAGGAATTGTAGGAAGACCTTTGTTTAGGGGAAGGTAAAGAAAATTCAAAAACTACTGGGCTAGGAGTCAATAGTTCTGACTCTGATACTGTGTGGCCTTTTGCCTGGTCACTTAGTCCACTGGACATGATTTTTTCATCTCTATATAGAGCCACAGTATCTCTAAAATTCCTCCTGCCTTTCATTTGATGATAGTCAAAGTTAAATATTACTCTTAATAATTCAACTGAATTAAGCATTTCTACAGTCTGGTAAAATCCCTACATTTTGCTACATATCACTTGTATTCTCAATTTTATATTCTGCCAAGAAAGATGAGTCAACAAAAATTGGGTTCGAATTCTTTATACCATTTTATCTTGAATACCTTATTCAGGTTCCTTTCCCTTGTCTTTTACCTTGTCTTTCCCTTTTCTTTGTATACTTCGTACACTTTGAAGTATACTTTGTATACTTTGTAAACCCTAATGGACTGGTAGAATATTGCAGTTATTCCTGGTACACTTCTCCTGGGGAAGACCTAGAGTTCTAGGCAGAGAGAAAAAAAAAGGTGGGACTGGGCAGGGTGGGGTGCGGGAAGAGTCACAGTGGATGATGTTGACATGAGGCTTAATTTCTTGGTTCAACAAAGGGAAAAAAGAAAGTTTATTCCTTTATACTACCTCCACTTTTTGGTCTATGTGGGTGAAAATGGGCAACTCCTAAAATACCAGAAATTAACAAAGTATGACATCACATCATATCACAATGGTTCCCACATCACTCTGATCAAAATTAATGGTTGAACTAATCAGTTATGATCTATGTAATCTTGGAACTGGCATTTTACTTGTTTGAAAACTCCCAGACATAGTGGAGTAAGTCACTTAGTAGCACCAGAATGTCAGACAATTACACCCTGCCATATATGAATTAGATTACTTCCCCATAGTATTACTAAAATATATTCTAATTTACTTTGTTTTTCTAGACAGACAATTCATTTTCAGCTTCCTTTATAAAATAAATGCTATTACATTTTTTTAAAATTCTGAGGGTACACCTTGAAGTATTTTCCTACAGCATATTCATTATATTTTCTTATTAACTATATATTTATGCAGCATTTATAGTCTCTTGGTTGACCTGGGCAAGGAAGTAAATATCCCCACAGTCCCATTGCTCCAACCCATGACAAAGAGGCAACTTCTAAGAGATTGCGACCTCTGTGAAGGAACCCACTCGGTTCCTAGATCAGGAGTTGGCAAGGGGCCCCCACCAAGTCACCTACCAAACATGCCATATCACTGCCAATCCTACTTAGGCTGGGAAAGCCACTGCTCGCCTCACCCCAAGTAATGGGGTTGTGCATTCATCCCCAACACTGTTGTTCGTGTAGCTGCTAGGGCCCCCTGCCCAGCCGGAGGCCAAGGGTGACGGTGGAATGCTGGCCTCCTCCCTCACCCTCCCCACTTCTGCCTATGCAACTGGTTGGCCATCCAGATGGAAGGAAGCAGTGTTCAGGGTTAGGAAGACGAAGGTTAGACAGGGACCTAGGACATCAGGAGGTAGGAAGAGGGCTGCTGAGAGCCCACCATGAGGAAGCACGGAGACGTCACATGGAGTGGGTGAGCCAAGGCTCTGAGACTCTAGTGCAGGTTCCACTGTCCAACCAACTTTCAATGACAACACACACAAGTTCAAAGATAAACTTATTTAAAATTTCAAAGGCAACCTCAGAGCACTAAATCCTGTGTCCCTTGAGCATGGGGTCCTGTGAGGGCACAAGTTGCATGTTCATGAAGCTGGCCCTGTACAGTCTATAGGTATGTATGTGTATATATGTATTTTTAAAATTATTTATTTATTTTGGCTGTGTTGGGTCTTTGTTGCTGTGTGAGGGCTTTCTCTAGTTGCGGCGAGCGGGGGCTGCTCTTCGTTGCGGTGCGCGGGCTTCTCATTGCGGTGGCTTCTCTTGTTGTGGAGCACAGGATCTAGACGCGTGGGCTTCAGTAGTTGCGGCACACAGGCTTCAGTAGTTGTGGCTCGCGGGCTCTAAGGCGCAGGCTCAGTAGTTGTGGCGCACAGGCTTAGTTGCTCCGCAGCATGTGGGATCTTCCCGGACCAGGGCTCGAACCCGTGGTCCCCTGCATTGGCAGGCTGATTCTTAACTACTACACCACCAGGGAAGTCCCTATATATGTATTTTTAAAATTCATTTCAATGCTGGTGAAACCATACTAAGGTATTTAATAGTATCAAAATTCTATCTTAGAATAATTTAATAAAATACAGGCATAACTTGGAGATATTGGGAATTCAATTCCAGACCACTGTAATAAAGCGAATATCTTAATAAAGTGAGTCACATGAATTTTTTGGTTTCCCAGTGCATATAAAAGTTATGTTTACACTATACTGTAGTCTATTAAGTGTGCAATAACATTATGTCTAAAAAAATAATGTACATACCTTAACTTTAAAATATTGCTAAAAATTGCTAACCATCACCTGAGCCTTCAGTGAGTTGTAATCTTTTTGCTGTTGGACAGTCTTTCCTCAGTGTTGATGGCTGCTGGCTGATCAGGGTGTTAATTGCTGAGGCTGGGGCGGCTGGGGCAGTTTCTTAAAATAAGACAACAATGAAGTTTGCTGCATCAATTGACTCTTTCTTTTGTGAACGACGTCTCTGTAGCTTGCAATGCTCTTTGATAGCATTGTACCCGCTGTAGAATTTCTTCCAAAATTGGAGTCAGTCTTCTAAAACTCTGCTGGTGCTTTATCAACTAAGTTTATGTAATATTCTAAATCCTTTGCTGTCATTTTAACAATCTTCACAGCACCTTCACCAGGAGTAGCTTCCTCATCTCCCAGCCTTCATAGAACTGAAGAGAGTTAGGGCCTTGCTGTGAAGTGTTAAAATCACTTTCTTTTTTCATCCATAAGAAGCAACTCCTCATTCATTAGTTTTATCATGAGATTGCAGCAATTCATTCACATCTTCAGACTCCACTTCTAATTCTACTTTTCTTGCTATTTCCACATCTGCATTTACTTCCTCCACTGAAGGCTTGAACTCCTCAAAGTCATCCATGAGGGTTGAAATCAACTTTTGCTAAACTCCTGTGAATTTGATATTTTGACCTCTTCCCATGAATCACAAATATTCTTAATGGTACCTGGAATGTTGAATCCTTTCCAGAAGGTTTTTAATTGATTTTGTCCATATCCATCAGAGGAATCACGATCTATGGCAGCTATAGCCTTACAAAACGTATGTCTTCAATAATAAGACTTGAAAGTAGAAATTACTTCTTGATCCATGGGCTGCAGAATGGATTCTGTGCTAGCAGGCATGAAAACAACATTAATATCGTCACAAATCTCAATCAGAGCTCTTGGGTGATCAGGTGCACTAATTTTTTTGTTAACATCTTTATTGGAGTATAACTGCTTCACAATGGTGAGTTAGTTTCTGCTTTATAACAAAGTGAATTAGCTATACATATACATACATCCCCATATCTCCTCCCTCCTGCGTCTCCCTCCCACCATCCCTATCCGACCCCTCTAGGTGGTCACAAAGCACCGAGCTGATCTCCCTGTGCTATGCGGTTCCTTCCCACTAGCTATCTACTTTACATTAGGCAGTATATATAAGTCCATGCCACTCTCTCACTTCGTCCCAGCTTACCCTTCCCCCTCCGCGTGTCCTCAAGTCCATTCTCTACGTCAGCGTCTTTATTCCTGTCCTGCCCGTAAGTTCTTCATAACCATTTTTTTTTTAGATTCCATATATATGTGTTAACAGATGGTATTTGTTTTTCTCTTTCTGACTTACTTCACTCTGTATGACAGACTGTAGGTCCATCCACCTCACTACAAATAACTCAATTTTGTTTCTTTTTATGGCTGAGTAATATTCCATTGTATATATGTGCCACATCTTTATCCATTCATCAGTTGATGGACACTTAGGTTGCTTCCATGTCCTGGCTATTGTAAATAGAGCTGCAATGAACATTATGGTACATGACTCTTTTTGAATTATGGTTTTCTTGGGGTATATGCCCAGTAGTGGGATTGCTGGGTCGTATGTTAGTTCTATTTGTAGTTTTTTAAGGAACCTCCATACTGTTTCCATAGTGGCTGTAACAATTTACATTCCCATCAACAGTGCAAGAGGGTTCTTTTCTCCACACCCTCTCCAGCATTTATTGTTTCTAGATTTTTTGATGATGGCCATTCTAACCAGTGTGAGATGATACCTCATTGTAGTTTTGATTTGCATTTCTCTAATGATTACTGATGTTGAGCATTCTTTCATGTGTTTGTTGGCAATCTGTATATCCTCTTTGGAGAAATGTCTATTTACCTCTTCTGCCCATTTTTGGATTGGGTTGATTGTTTTTTTGATATTGAGCTGGATGAGCTGCTTGTAAATTTTGGAGATTAATCCTTTGTCAGTTGCTTCGTTTGCAAATATTTTCTCCCATTCTGAGGGTTGTCTTTTGGTCTTGTTTATGGTTTCCTTTGCTGTGCAAAAGATTTTAAGTTTCATTAGGTCCCATTTGTTTATTTTTGTTTTTATTTCCATTTCTCTAGGAGGTGGGTCAAAAAGGATCTTGCTGTGATTTATGTCATAGAGTGTTCTTCCTATGTTCTCCTCTAAGAGTTTTATAGTATCTGGCCTTACATTTAGGTCTTTAATCCATTTTGAGTTTATTTTTGTGTATGGTGTTAGAGTGTTCTAATTTCATTCTTTTACATGTAGCTGTCCAGTTTTCCCAGCACCACTTATTGAAGAGGCTGTCTTTTCTCCATTGTGTATTCTTGACTCCTTTATCACAAATAAGGTGACCATATGTGTGTGGGTTTATCTCTGGGCTTTCTATCCTGTTCCATTGATCTATATTCCTGTTTTTGTGCCAGTACCATACTGTCTCAATTACAGTAGCTTTGTAGTATAGTCTGATGTCAGGGAGCCTGATTCCTCCAGCTCCGTTTTTCTTTCTCAAGATTGCTTTGTCTATTCGGGGTCTCTTGTGTTAAAATACAAATTGTGAAATTTTTTGTTCTAGTTCTGTGAAAAATGCCAGTGGTAGTTTCATAGGGACTGCATTGAATCTGTAGATTGCTTTGGGTAGTATAGTCATTTTCACAATGTTGATTCTTCCAATCCAAAAACATGGTATATCTCTCCATCTGTTTGTATCATCTTTAATTTCTTTCATCAGTGTCTTATAGTTTTCTGCATACAGGTCTTTTGTCTCCTTGGGTGGGTTTATTCCTAGGTATTTTATTCTTTTTGCAATGGTAAATGGGAGTGTTTCCTTAATTTCTCTTTCAGATTTTTCATCATTAGTGTATAGGAATGCCAGAGATTTCTGTGCATTAATTTTGTATCCTGCTACTTTACCAAATTCATTGATTAGCTCTAGTAGTTTTCTGGTAGCATCTCTAGGATTGTCTATGTTTAGCATCGTGTCATCTGCAAACAGGTTTACTTCTTCTTTTCTGATTTGGATTCATTTTATTTATTTTTCTTCTCTGATTGCTGTGGGTAAAACTTCCAAAACTATGTTGAATAACAGTGGTGAGAGTGGGTAACCTTGTCTTGTTCCTGATCTTAGTGGAAATGGTTTCAGTTTTTCACCATTGAGAACCATGTTGGCTGTGGGTTTGTCATATGTGGCCTTTATTATGTTGAGATAAGTTCCCTCTATGCCTACTTTCTAGAGGGTTTTTATCATTAATTGGTGTTTGATTTTGTCAAAAGCTTTTTCTACATCTATTGAGATGATCATATGGTTTTCATTCTTCAGTTTGTTGGTATGGTGTATCACATTGATTGATTTGCGTATATTGAAGAATCCTTGCATTCCTAGGATAAACCCCACTTGATCAATGGTGTATGATCCTTTCAATGTGCTGTTGGATTCTGTTTGCTAGTATTTTGTTGAGGAGTTTTGCCTCTATGTTCATCAGTGATATTGGCTTGTAGTTTTCTTTCTTTGTGACATCTTTGTCTGGTTTTGGTATCAGGGTGATAGTGGCCTTGTAGAGTTTGGGAGTGTTCCTCCCTCTGCTATATTTTGGAAGAGTTTGAGAAGGATAGGTGTTGGCTCTTCTCTAAATGCTTGATAGAATTCGCCTGTGAAGCCATTTGGTCCTGGGCTTTTGTTTGTTTGAAGACTTTTAATCACAGTCTCAATTTCAGTGCTTGTGATTGGTCTGTTCATATTTTCTATTTCTTCCTGGTTCAGTCTCGGAAGGTTGTGCTTTTCTAAGAATTTGTCCATTTATTCCAAGTTGTCCATTTTATTAGCATATAGTTGCTTATAGTAATCTCTCATGATCCTTTGTATTTCTGCAGTGTCCTTTGTTACATCTCTTTTTTTTTTTTTTTCCGTACGCAGGCCTCTCACCACTGTGGCCCTTCCCGCTGCAGAGCACAGGCTCCGGATGCGCAGGCTCAGTGGCCATGGATCATGGGCCCAGCTGCTCCATGGCACGCGGAATCCTCCCAGACCGGGGCACGAACCCACGTCCCCTGCATCGGCAGATGGACTCTCAACCACTGCGCCACCACGGAAGCCCTCATTTTTCATTTCTGATTCTATTGATTTGAGTCTTCTTTTTTTTCTTGATGAATCTGGTTAATGGTTTATTAATTTTGTTTATCTTCTCAAAGAACCAGCTTTTAGTTTTATTGATCTTTGCTATTGTTTCCTTCATTTATTTCTGATCTGATCTTCATGATTTCTTTCCTTCTGCTAACTTTGGGGTTTTTTTCTTCTTTCTCTAATTGCATTAGGTGTAAGGTTAGGTTGTTTATTTGAGATGTTTCTTGTTTCTTAAGGTAGGATTGTATTGCTATAAACTTCCCTCTTAGAACTGCTTTTGCTGCATCCCATAGGTTTTGGGTCGTTGGCTTTCATTGTCATTTGTTTCTAGGTATTCTTTGATATTCTCTTTGATTTTTTCAGTGATCTCTTGGTTATTAAGTACTGTATTGTTTAGCCTTCATGTGTTTGTATTTTTTACAGCGTTTTTCCTCTAATTGATATCTAGTCTCATAGCGTGTAGTCAGAAAAGATACTTTATACGATTTCAGTTTTCTTAAGGCTTGATTTGTGACCCAAGATATGACCTATCCTGGAGAATGTTCCATGAGCACTTGAGAAGAAAGTGTATTCTGTTGTTTTTGGATGGAATGTCCAATAAATATCAATTAAGTCCATCTTGTTTAATGTATCATTTAAAGCTTGTGTTCTCTTATTTATTTTCTTTTTGGATGATCTGTCCATTGGTGAAAGTGGAGTGTTAAAGTCCCCTAATATGATTGTGTTACTGTCGATTTCCCCTTTTATGGCTGTTAGCCTTTGCCTTATGTAGTGAGGTGCTCCTATGTTGGGTGCATAAATATTTACAATTGTTATATCTTCTTCTTGGATTGATCCCTTGATCATTATGTAGTGTCCTTCACTGTCTCTTGTGATAGTCTTTATTTTAAAGTTTATTTTGTCTGATATGAGAATCGCTACTCCAGCTTCCTTTTGATTTACATTTGCATGGAATATCTTTTTCCATCCCCTAACTTTCAGTCTGTATGTGTCCTTAGGTCTGAAGTGGGTCTCTTGTTGACAGCATATATACGGGTCTTGTTTTTGTATCCATTTAGCCAGTCTGAGTCTTTTAGTTGGCACATTTAATCCATTTACATTTAAGGTAATTATCAATATGTATGTTCCTATTACCATTTTCTTAATTGTTTGGGGTTTGTTATTGTATATCTTTTCCTTCTCTTGTGTTTCCTGCCTTCAGTGCACCTGAAGTTTCTTTGAGGTGCACTATTAATGAGCAGTAATATTTTAAAGGAATCATTTTTTTCTGAGCAGTAGGTCTTAACAGTGGGCTTTAAATATTCAGTAAACCAGGTTGTGAATAGATTGCTATATCTAGGTTCTCTGTTCCATTTATAGAGCACTGGCAAAGTAGATTTAGCAGAATTCTCAAGGACCCTAGGATTTTCAGAATGGTAAATAAGCATTGGCTTCAACTTAAAGTCACCAGCTATGTTTTATCCTATAACAAGAGAGTCAGCCTGTCTTTTGAAGCTTTGAAGCCAAACATTGACTTCTCCTCTCTAGCTAAAAAAGTCCTAGATGGCATCTTCTTCCAATACAAGCCTGTTTGTCTACATTGAAAATCTATTGTTTAGTGTAGCCACCTTCATTTTGATTATCTTAGATCTTCTGAATAACTTCTGCAGCCTCTACAACAGCACTTGCTGTTTCATCTTGCACTTTTTTGTTACAGAGATGGCTTCTTTCCTTAAACTTCAAGAAGCAACCTCTGGTAGCTTCAGATTTTTCTTCTGCAACTTCCTCATCTCTCAGTCTTCATAGAATTGAAGAGAGTTAGGGCCTTGCTCTGGAGTAGGCTTTGGCTTAAGGGAATGTTGTGGCTTATGTGACCTTCTATCCAGACCACTAAAACTTTTTCCACATCGACAGTAAGGCTGTTCCACTTTCTTATCATTTGTGTGTTCACTGGAGTAGCACTTTTAATTTCCTTCAAGAACTTTTCCTTTGCATTCACATCTTGGCTAATGGTTTGGCCCAAGAGGCCTAGATTTTGGCCTATCTATCTCAGCTTTCGACGTTCCTTCCTCACTAAGCTTAATCTTGCTAGCTTTATTTAAAGTGAGACAAATCGCTTCTTGGCCAAGTGTAAAGTGAGAGATGTGCGACTCTTACCTTCACTTAAACACTCAGAGACCATTAATTGGCCTAATTTCAATACTATTGTGTAAGGGAACAGGTAGGCCCAAAGAGAGGGAAAGAGATGGGCAAACAGCCGGTCAGTGAAGCAGTCAGAACATACACACTTATCGATTAAGTTTACCATCTTATATGGGAGCAGTTTGTGGTGCCCCCAAACAGCTACAATAGTAACAATGAAGATCACTGATCACAGATCACCATAACAAATATAATAATAATGAAAAAGTTTGAAATATTGAGAGCATTACCAAAATGTGATACAGAGACACAAAGTGAGCAAATGCAGTTGGAAAAATGGTGGCAACAGACTTGCTCCATGCAGGGTTGCCACAGACCTTCAATTTGTAAAAAGTGCAGTACCTGCAAAGTGCAATAAAGTGAAGCACAATAAAATGCAGTATGCCTGTAAAATTATTCAAAGAGTTGCCAAACTGATGTTCCTATTAGCATCCATGGTACTCTTATAGTTTTTTCTTATTTTGATTACCAGTTTAATTCTGTTTCAAGGAAAATAAGTATAACTGGGTATATTAAGTATGCTAGAGTGACAGTTCTCAATCATGGTGTAATCTCACACAATTGTGAGGTATATAGGAAGAAATATTTACTTACATACTACAGTAATATCTCAGTCACTTGGAATCTTATATATTTTTCAAACTAGCAAGAAGGAGTAGAGTTATAGCAGGCTGGAAAGGTACACTCAACTATGCTGAAACTTGTACCAAGTGCCTCATAAGAGTGTCCTTTATGTAAAAATAATAATACTTAGAAAGTTATTGTAAGGTAATGCATGTGAAATACTGAGATTACTAAATATTTGTGGAATAAAAATGGACACTTCTTAAAGTCTTACCTCTCCCATTTCTTGTCTCAGTTGTTCAAATTCCTGTTTTTCCATCTCTAGCTTATGCTTCCGTTCCTCCTCTGTTCGTCGTCTTTCTTCTTCCATTTTTTGTTTTAATAATTCTTCAAAATTAATTTCTAGTTTTCCAGGTGTAAGAGATTCTTGAGAGGTTGTTTTATACATCTCTGGGGAGTCATCATCTACTACCTATTTAAAATAATTCTTTTATCACTCTTGCCAGAATTATACATACTACAAAGGGAATATTTCTTGAATAGAAAGGTTTCACATTGAACTAAAACCCAAAAATTCTCTTTAAAAGTATAAAACAATAAACAAGAAGGAATTATTAGAAACTGTAAGACTAAAGTATTTTGTAGTAACAGAGAAAATGGTGACCATAAAGTCTCCATTCCAGTGAACACAAATAAATACTTTGACTTTATACTATGAGTAATTTGAATTAGACATTAAGATATTCTAACAAATTTTTTTTAATTAAAAAAATTAAAAAGATGTTCTAATATTGGGAAAACGTTTTAATTGGATTAAAATTAACCTCCATTCTGGTAATTAAAATAGAGCATTTCAGTTAAATCATGGTTTTTACCTGAATGAATTAGATATCATGACCCCTTCATAATCAGGCAAAAATCAGTTAATGCTGTGATTTTACTGATTTATTTACTGTCAGGCTAATTAAAAATAAATAATAATAGTTAATACTTATAGCTGCCAGGTACAATTCTAAGCACTTTACGTGTATTGACTTATTTTTCTGTAACCCTGTGAAGTAGGTGTTATTAATATCCCCATTTTATAGATGAGGAAACTGAGGCACTAAAAAGTAACTTGTCCAAAGTCAACACAAATACTATGTGGAAAAGGTGAAATTCCAAACCTTAAAAGTCTTTCTAATAAAACTATAAATAACTATTTAGACTACCTTTTTGTAATTTCATGAATTACATGTCTGCCATTTAGTTATGACCTTGGGCAAGTTACATAGCCTCTCTAAATCTGAGTTTCCTTATCTGTGACAACTTTCATAGAGTTGTCATGAGAATTACATAAAGTTTGGAAACACTTTGCAGTGTGTCTGACACTATGGTAAGCTCCCAAATAGCAGTTTTATTATTACAATATCATTCCCTGTATATAGGCAATCTCTAAATTGCAAATAGAAACTCTGCTTTTAAATCATTGACTTGGAATACATTTTGCCATGAAAAGCAGTGACCTAATTCTAACCCCTGAAAGTATATACATAAACCTCTCACTTGAATTGTGTCCCTGTGGCTGAACTAGAAATAGGAATAAGAGAGGTAAAGGGTAATTATTATTTGTTCCAATTTTTATATATGACAGGCTTTTACCACAGAACCAGTTCAACTCAGAAATAATGTTTATATGGTCTCAAAATCCACAGATTGCCAAAAAAATTTTTATTAATATATGAGTTAACTGAGCAATAATATGAAATGACAATACTTGGCCCTAGATAAGAAAACAACATAAATGAAGGAAAAAGTTTCTCTTTCCTTTCCTGATATAGAAATGTCTTTAGGAAGCCAGAGTTTTGGTTTAATGCCATTTTCCTTCCCTGCACTTTTTCCACTAGTGAGTCATGATAAAATGGCAGATTTGGCCTAAAAATCTGCTCCCAGGACTAGATTTCCTGATCTTCACAGCTACTTCTTATCTACCACTTCTGAACCAGCTGATTCTCCAGAAATTAAGTGCTCTCAGAATGTTTGTAGGGTTTCTGTGTAGAAACCATTTGTGAATCAAGGATTACCTAATAAGATAGTATTAATATCACTTATTCCAACTTAGCCATAAAAAAGAACAAAATAATGCCATTTGCAGCAACATGGATGTAACTACAGATTATCATACTAAGTGAAGTCAGAAAGAGAAAGACAAATACCATATTTGTGGAATCTAAGATATGGCTCAAATGAACCTATCTACAAAACAGAAACAGACTCACAGACATAGAGAACAGACTTGTGGTTGCCAAGGGGGAGGTGGGTGGGGGAGGGAAGGACTGGGAGTGTGGAATTAGCAGATGTGAACTATTATATATAGGATGGATAAACAACAAGGTCCTACTGTATAGCACAGGGAACTATATTCAATATCCTGTGATAAGCCATAATGGAAAGGAATATTAAAAAGAAGAATGTATAAATGTGTATAACTGAGTCACTATGCTGTAGAGCAGAGATTGGCACAGCATTGTAAATCAACTCTACTTCAATAAAAAATAATAATAAAATAAATCACTTATTCCACAAGCATTTACAGGAAGTTTGTTACACTAGAATGCATTGTGCCATGTGCTTTTTTTTTCCTAAGTCCAAGCACCATCTTTTTCTTTTTTTTTGGCTGCATTGGGTCTTCGTTGCTGTGCGTGGGCATCCTCTAGTTGTGGTGAGCAGGGGCTACTCTTCGTTGCAGTGAGCGGGCTACTCATTGCAGTGGCTCCTCTTGTTGCGGAGCATGGGCTCTAGGCACGTGGGCTTCCTTAGTTGCAGCACATGGGCTCAGTAGTTGCTGCACGCGGGCCCTAGAGTGCGCGGGCTTCAGTGAAGTCCCGTGTCATGTGCTTGATGTGGTCTCAGCCTCACTGAGTGAGGAAGATGGCCATAAGCCACAATACAGCGCTAGTGCTATGCTAGGGGAGCACTAAATGCTCTAAGAACACATGAAAGGAACACCTTTCTGGAACTTGTATTAGCAGGAAAGGCTTCCAGAGGAAATGGAATATATGAATAGGAGATACCTCAGCACAGGGAAAAGAGAGAGAGACACGTTTCATATAGCATTTATGAAGTTCCAGAGATGAGAGCATAGCGTTTTGAAGAAATGGAAAGAAATTTAGTATGTCTGGAACAAACATGGCAGATTAAGGAAGACTCAAGAGGGACTTCCCTGGTGGCACAGTGGTTAAGAATCTGCCTGCCAATGCAGGGGACATGGGTTCAAGCCCTGGTCCGGGAAGACCCCACATGCCATGGAGCAACTAAGCCTGTGCGCCACAACTACTGAGCCTGCGCTCTAGAGCCTGCGAGCCACAACTACTGAAGCCCGTGTGCCTAGAGCCCGTGCTCTGCAACAAGAGAAGCCACCGCAATGAGAAGCCCGCTCACCGCAACAAAGAGTAGCCCCCACTAGCTGCAACTAGAAAAAGCCTGCATGCAGCAACAAAGACCCAATGCAGCCAAAAATAAATAAATATATTTATTTAAAAAAAAAAAGGAAGAATCAAGAAATGAAACTGGAGGAAATACTAGGGCAAGATTATAAAGAAATTTATTTAAAAATTTTAGTGTTTGGATTTTTGTTTTAAGGGACGTGGAAAATTTTTAAGCAAAATAGTAACATAATCAAATTTATTTATTTATTTATTTTTTTTTTAAGAAAGACCACTTCTGGCTTTATAGGAAAGAATGGATTATAGGCAAGAAAGCAAATTAATTAGGAGTTGGCCTCAGGCAAGGGATAACAGTGACCTGCATTATAGTAGTGGTAGTGGGAAATGGGGGAAAACTGATCAATTTTTAGAGTGATATAGGAAATGAGACAGTGAATGACTGGATGTGAGGCATGAATGAGAGGTGGAAGTGCTTAAGGCCCACAGGTTTCTGATTTGAGCATCTGGGTGGGTGATGAAGCCAAATAAACACTTGGCTATATCTGTCTGAAGCTCACCCAGACACAGGAAGAAAACCAGGTCATGATATCATTGAAGCCAATTAAAATGTTTCAGGAAGGGGATGCAGCGTTCACGTGTCAACTTACTTAAAAAAAAGTTTGTCAGGTAACTGTACATTTAACAAACATTAAAATGGTATAGGGGCTTCCCTGGATTCTGTGGTTAAGAATCCGCCTGCCAATGCAGGGGACACGGGTTTGACCCCTGGTCCGGGAAGATCCCACATGCCCCAGAGCAACTAAGCCCATGCGCCACAACTACTGAGCCTGTGCTCTAGAGCCCGTGAGCGAGAACTACTGAAGCCCATGCGCCTAGAGCCCGTGCTCCACAACAAGAAAAGCCACCGCAGTGAGAAGCCCGTGTAGAGTAGCCCCTGATCTCCGCAACTAGAGAAAACTTGTGCACAGCAACGAAGACCCAACGCAGCCAAAATAAATAAATAAATATTTAAAAAATGGTATAAGAAGTATAACTTTGTAACAGAGTTAAGTTTAGTAGCAATATCCAGAGTGATGGTAAGCATTTTGGAGAGTTAACTAATTGTGATTAAATGGCTTTGATCATTTAATATATCCCAGATGGGATGGATACTGGAAAGAAAGGAGGAAAGGAAGGAAGGAGTGAGGGAGGGAAGGAGAAGAGAATGGAGAGGAGGGAAGGAAAGGTGGGGGTAGGAACCCCGCTCCCTCCTCCCTTAGATACTTAGTTCTGGAAAACATGCCTTCCCAGAGAAGGAAGATAACATACACTTCTCTATGCTAGGCATAGCAATTTAATCAGAAACTTCTCAACACTATAATGAAGCAAACACCTTTAACTGACAGTGTTATGCCATAGGAGACTTTAATAACTTATATGCCATCCCTACTTCTGGCATATAAGTTCAGAAATAATAGGGTATTCCCCAAAGTTGAATGATTTCTCATAACATACTGAATCCCAGTGGCCTCCTCCAGTCACATTCTATCTTACCATGCTTCTCCTTGCTTCAGCAAATGCCTTCTTTTCTTCCTCTATTCTTCTTCTGGCTTCTTCTTCTGCTTTCCTTTTTTCATCTTCTCTCCTTTGTCTTTCTATTTCTTCAAAACTGAGTTTGAGTTTACCAGGGCGGTACCCTTTAAAAATGTTTTCAGTGTCTTGGTTTTCCTCCTCTTCATTTACCTAACGAAGAAACAACTCACTACTAAAAACTGGGATTAATCAAAGACAGGAATGAATTATAAATCAAAAGGCACAGACTCAGCCACCTTACACAGAAATGTTTCTTTGTTCTAGTATTCTTGACCAAAATCCCCTTCCTTTATAACGTCTCATATGATTTAAAAAATCAAATTTGGAAAAATTCCAAATAAAGATGTACTCAAGTTAAATAAAACTTCTCAAGCAAGTCAAATTTTTAAATGAATAAGATTGTTTAAAATTCTTAAGGAATCATTTAAAAGTTTTACTAAACATTAACTCTCCCAGAACAAACATAAAACACGTGTGTGGACCTACTAGAGAAAGGACTTGAGGACACAGGGAGGGGGAAGGGTAAGTTGGGACAAAGTGAGAGAGTAGCATGGACATATATACACTACCAAACGTAAAATAGATAGCTAGTGGGAAGCAGCCGCATAGCACAGGAAGATCAGCTCAGTGCTTTGTGACCACCTGGAGGGGTGGGATAGGGAGGGTGGGAGGGAGGGAGACGCAAGAGGGAAGAGATATGGGAACATATATGTATAACTGATTCACTTTGTTATAAAGCAGAAACTAACACACCATTGTAAAGCAATTATACTCCAATAAAGATGTTAAAATAAATAAATAAATAAAAGTAACACCAACACACAGACGTGGGTCCTACTCAGTTTAAGATATGGAATGTTTCCAGTACTCTTGAAGGTCTTCGTGTATCCTTCAAGAGCCCATCCACCTTTTGCTGGCTTTTCAGAGGAAACTAATATGCTTAATTTTGTGTTTGTTATTCTTTTGCTTTGTTTGAATATGTAAAAATTTGTTCAGTGTTGCAGCTTTTGAATTTTACATATAAGAAATTATACTGTATGTGGTCCTATTGACTTACAGTTTTGCTGAATCTTGTAGTTTTTTTTAAGATTTATCTGTGTTGATGGGGCTACCTGTGGTTAATTATTTTCTATTGCTGTATAGTATTTCATTGATTAAAAATTCTACAATTTATCTTCCAAAAAAAATAAAAGTGTGTGTGTGTACTTAAATTGAGGTTCAAGTATACACACACTGAGTCTCTTACATAATAAAGTTCTCATTCTGTAATTTTCATGGATTTTTTTTACTATGAACTATGGTTATTAAATGGATAAAACATTATCTGGAACTATTTTACATACAATTCAAATTTTATGATTTTATAATTAAAATTCTAATGTAATGCTAATTAAATTAATTAAATACTCATTGAAATTTATGATTTGATTAATTAATGATATTTCTATGTCTTTTCACTAAATTGACCACCAGTGATATCTAAAATGTGTAGGTATTATCCAACTGTAACTACCCAAAATATTGGGTTGGCCAAAAAGTTTGTTTGGGTTTTTCCATAACATTTTACAGAAAAACCCAAACGAAATTTGGCCAACCCAATAACAACATTTTCAAACAAACATCTAGAAAATTAAAATTTTGGAGATATAGACCTCAGAACATCATTAATGAAAACTGATCAAGAAAGTCTGAAAGTTTAAAAAATTACATATGTTCCATTCTTAAATTCTTGCAATGAGATTTGGAATCAGTGTTTTCTTATTTCAATTTTATTTTTTGTTGTTAAATCTGTTACTATAATAATAGCAGTTAACATTTTTAAAGCACATATTGGGAATTCCCTGGCGGTTTAGTGGTTGGGACTCCACGCTTCCATTGCAGGAGGCATGGGTTCAATCCCTGGTCAGGGAACTAAGATCCCAAAAGCTGTGCTGCGAGGTCAAAAAAAATAAATAATAAAAAGATAAAAATACATAATAAATAAATAAATGAAACACTTATTATATGCCAAACACTACTCTAACTGCTTTCTATATTAACTCATTTAATGATTTAAGAAGTAGGCACAATTATTTTCACCATTTTACAAATGAGGAAACTAAGATGTAGAGAGGTTCAATAACTTGTCCATGGGTACACAATAAAGGTTAGATATCTGAATCCAGGCAGTCTGGCTCCAAAATCCATGCTCTTAAGCACTTAGATTATATACATTACACATATATATATCTCTCTCTATATATTCAGTATATATATATATATATATATATATATATATATATATACTGACACTAAGTGTACACTTATGATTAGACTTGAAAGTGCGCTGCACCATGCTATTAAACACATTGCAGGCTGAGCTAACAGATGAAGAGAAATTAGATTTGTTGAATAATTATTTTGTATGTTTACAACAATTTATAAAAATAAAAATTTAAGGCATATTAGGTAAAATATCCCAAAATGAAAGCTAGAAAATAATATAAATGCATGTTATATATGGAATATGTATACAGTTTCAAAATCAGACCCTTGTATATAGAAAATCTCCTTAAATTTATAGCAATGAACCTTATCTAAAGCCAGCTACCTCCCTTAATATTAAATGTTTTATATATAACATTTGTATAACATATTATACATATAATATACAATTTGTATAATATAATATATAAATGTTATGTATCATAATATAATTATGTATTATAATATCATATATAAATGTTACATATATATCAGTTTGTTTTACCATTTGCCGCCTTGCTTCTTCAAAAGCACGCCTCTCTTCTTCTAAACGTTTTCTTGCTTCCTCCTCAGCTTGCTTCCTTCGGTTTTCTTGTCTTTGTCTTTCCAATTCTTCAAAAGTCAGTTTCAATTTTCCAGGAGAAAGTGACTCTTTCTTTGCCTCACTTTCCAGTTCATCATCCTAAGAAAACATAATGAAAACCTGTTAATCATAAAGGGATATGCTGCTAACCAACTTAACTGCTTTTATTTGTTCTCTATTAAAAAAAATTACCATGACCAATGAAAGACACTTTGCTTCCTTGAGAGACCGACGTTGTTCTTCATATCTTATATCTTCTTCATACTTGACCCTTTCCTTTTCTTCTTGTTCTTTTTCTAGATCTTCGAAATTCTTTTTCATTTTTCCAGATGTTTTGTGTGATTTGACAGGTACCACTGTTACAAGCAGTGAATCATCTCCTTCCTAATTTATAAAATAGATAATTAGCATATTTCTTCCTAATCAAAATTTAGGTTTCATGGGACTTCCATCATTGGTGAATTTCATTACATTGCCATCAATGTTATGAAGAACAAAAATTAATATTTTTAACAGATTTCTATTAAATAGCTCTTTCTCTGAATTCATTGTACATGATGAGTCAATCTTATTGAAATCCACTGCTGACAGGTTCAAGAAGCATCTTTTTTCCTAGAAGATGGTGTTAATACAGCTGTTTGGATAAAATTGCGTGAAATTATCTGAATTTCACTATCCGTGCACTCATCCCACAAAAGGTAATGTGCATGTGAGCATACTCTAAATCAATTTGATGGTGGATGGCTTCAGTTTAAACACACAAGAAAGGTTTCTGTGTTTGATTTTTCTCTCCATGCAAGTTTTTAAATACTTAATAAAACTAACATTTTAGCAAGGAAAAAAACCCCAGTATTTCCAAGTGATTTAGAAAACATTTATATTATGGACAAAACTCTTTGGCCTTTGGTCCTATTCAAATATTCTTAAACTTGTTTTTAAAATCCATTTTAATTAGTTCTATTACATCATCTGTTATTGCCTTTGAACTTTTTTCAAAAACAAAGAATTGTAATATGTAACACATGCCCCCTAAAATAAAACTGCTTCCAATTTATGTGGCTGTAGTTTTAGGCACACCATCAAATTGATTGATCTTTAACTTTTTCTGTTAGATAAAAAGAGATAACTAAAATTTTTGTGGTTTGAACATTCCTTCATGGTAATAGATTCTGTACTCTCTGCTAGTATGTGATAAGCAAAACAAACTATCAGGAACTCTGAGGAAAGAAGACAGATGATGAAAAGAAAACTGCCTTTTTCAAATGTTAGCTTTCAACAATCTCAACTATTAGTAACAGTTCAAGAAATATACAGCCTTGGCAGAGTATCTCAAATTGAGACTTGTGTCTCTAACCATGAAAGCAAAAACATACTTTTCTTTAAAAACACTAAGCTATAGCGTTTGAAAGTGCAAAAGTATGATCTTGCTTTGCAAAATATTTTTGTCCTTGTTGTTGTTGCTATATTTATAATAAAAGAACTCTTAATTTTTTTAATTGAAAGATTATTTGTGAATCAGATAATTTTAGGTGAATGTTTCATTAAAGGAAATGTCCATTTACCTCTGATGCTGATTCAGTTCCCGTATTGTTTATGTCCTCAATCTATTGAATAAGAATTTTATATCATTACATTACATCAGATTTCTGCTTTTTGTTTTAAACATACAACTGAAAAGTATTAGTTGTGATTTATGGTAAATTTCAAAATTTAGCATTCTGAAGTATTTTTATGTTGCTCCAAATTAACCAATTATGTCCTTTTAAATAGAGATTAAACTTTATATTAATTTTTGCATTTTGATATCACTATCTAGGGAACAACATATTAAGAAAAAATTAAAATAAAGCCTACCTTTGTAATTCTGGAATTTGAATAATGGACCAAACTCTTATAATCTGGCTGTGAGCTTACAACCAGCAGTTATTAATTAAGCAATTTAAATGGAGCTACAGAAACATTTCCCCATTCTCTCTCTGCCACAGCGAAAGGAAAACCTATCATTAGCAATCAAATAATCATCATGACTATATTTTATAATATAAATAGATGGCAAAAATATAACTGACACAATAATAAAGCACAGTAAAAGGTGTAGGCTTTCACATGGCTAGTTTAGAAGGGAAAATAATTCTGGAAATCATAATTGTTTACTCTATATTTTGACAGACCTAGGTAGGAAAGGCCCTCATTCAAAAAGAGGGAGCTCAATTTGGCCATTAAGATTAGCTTGAGGGGCAGGCTAATGTACGATACATAACAGAGTGAGAAATGACAGAAAAGTGATTTAAATAACACAATGTTTGAGATCTCAGGAAAAGGAAACATAAGCAACAGGAAAATGGAAAAAGTTAGAAAGTAAAAATTCAGATTGTTTATTGTTTTAATTTGATTTTTAACACCAGTGAAAGAGCTGGAAGTAGTTTGTTCCTCACTCAGTCTAAGGGAATTCTGCTGTACCTTGTCTCATACTAGGAACTGGGCTGGCTAACTCCCTGTTCTCTCATCACCTCACTTTTCTATATTCTCTGTCAAGAAGAAATAATACATATTATTAAGATACCAAATTTCTTGAAAAAGAAATTATTCTGAACAAATCATTTATTAAAAATAAGTCTATTTTGTATCTTAATAGTTTATTTTAAATAGCTTTGTTCAGAATAATTTGCGTTGTTACAGAATTATTTATTACACTGAGTTGTTGTATAAATGATGAAGGTTTTATTGAATGATAAATGATACTATGAAAAATTTTAATGAATCTGTAATAAAATAATTACAAAATTATTTCCCTTCAAAAGAGTGCTAACAATTCCTCTACAAATCATGTTAATCTCAATAAAAAGTTCTAGGAGATATGGTGAGAAGCGAGACATTGAGAGCATAGGGAAGAAAAATTCTAAATTTTTTAACCCCAAATTTCTTTTTCTTGCTGCTACAACCTTCTCAGATTTTTATTAGCTTACAGTAGATAATAAACTATATTTAGAATAGTTTTTCTTTGTTTGGTTGGGTGTTTTTTTGTTATTTTTGCTTTATTCTTTGCTCATTTTAAACCATTATCAAAACAACAAAAGATAGAATTTTTTTTCCGTTGGGTTTCAACAAACAAAGAAAAAGATGAATTTGCCTAAGTGGCCATGGTCTCAGTATATTCATAGAGAACTAAGATATTCAGTTCAATTATAGTGCTAGCTTTCAGAAACTACCATTGAAGATCTGCTTCCCAATTATTTCTTTTGATTTATGAAAAGAAAACTCCTTTTGCTACTTCCCAAATCAACTTCCTTTCTCCCCTTTCTTTTCAACATCTCAATCTCCCACCAATAACTTCTCTTTTTCCAAGTTGTTAGACATTAACCTTGTCCATCAAAATACCCTCAAAGATAACCAGATTATACCAAATTAAGATTCTCCCCCAAATTTTATTGGTCTTTGATTCCAACATCCAGTATACGAACTATGCCTATTTTTAATTTATCATAATATCCTAGAATCTCAGAACTGGTAATTATCTTAAATGTTACTCAGCTACCTGTCTGACTCAGGAATCCTTTCTATAGTGTTCTTGAATATGGACGTATACAAGAGGATTTTTCAAACAAACATTAAGACTCTTCTTGACTATGTCGTGCCTTCTTATATTCAAAGATAGATTAAATTTTATTAGATTTGAGTGGAAAATGTATTTAATTAGGTTTTAAAATTAGACTTCCCATATTTGCAAGATGAAATTACTATTAATAGTTTATATTGCTCTACCGACATATTCTCAAATAATTTAATAGGCTAAAAATTTTATTAACCAAGATTCTCTCGCACCCTGCCATGTAGTATCCAGGGTTACTAAAGAAAGTGGTTCTTTTTCATGATTAGTTTTCTTCCATCTCTCTCTGAGTATCCTATGTCTTCATCATATTCAAATTCACCTCAACACACATATTTCTTCTTTTTGAAACCACTGCCATATTCAGTTCTCGGGGTGGTAGTGTAATCAGTGCTTTTTGGAAAAGGGCACAGGCTTAAAAGAGATAGACTAACCCCATGTGCATACTCACCATTTCCTGCCAAACACCATATATTTTAATTATATATTTTATTACCTTAGTTTACGATTTGTATTATAAATATAATTACATATAGTGATATATTTTATATATAACCTAAAATATTCATTTATTATATATTGTATCCCCTTATTATAATAAGGGAACTCCCTCCTTATAACTGTATTCCCTTGTGAAATTTCATTTCTTTTTAAAAAAAATTAATTAATTTTTGGCTGCATTGGGTCTTCATTGCTGTGTGCAGGCTTTCTCTAGTTGTGGCGAGCGGGGGCTACTCTTCATCGTGGTGTGAGGGCACGCAGGTTTCAGTAGTTGTGGCTTGTGGGCTCTAGAGCGCAGGCTCAGTAGTTGTGGGCATGGGCTTAGTTGCTCTGTGGCATGTGGGATCTTCCTGGACCAGGACTCGAACCTGTGTCCCCTGCACTGTCAGGCAGATCCTTAACCACTGCACCACCAGGGAAGTCCGAAACTTCATTTCAAAATGAATACTAATCTTTGATGACTGGAGGTGGCAGAGGTAAAGTACACCAACCTTTCTTCAGACAAAGAGATGCAAAGTAATAAAATATAGGAAATTCCAATTCTTTTCTGTAATTCATCCGGCATATGACATTATTTGTCACCATAAAAATGGCTGTTTGTGCCATAAAAGTGATTATTTGCAAAGTCAGGGTAAATAAATTTCTTTGACATGCAAATACAGCATATGCTTTGCCTTCTTTGTCACTTTAAAAAAATTTTTTTGTTTGTTTGGTTTTTTTTTTTTTGGCTGCACTGTGTGGCTTGCAGGATCTTACTTCTCTGACCAAGGATCCAACCCTGGCCCCGGCAGTGAAAGCGCCAAGTCCTAACCACTGGACCGCCAGGGAATTCCCTTTCACGTTTTTTAAAGAAAAGTAGTAGAAACTGAAAGAAGCATAGCAAATAGATTTAAGGCACTTAAAGAGTAGGCAAAAAAGAGCCAAGTACAATCTCACAATAAAGACAATATACTGTGAAGACAATGTTAGGATAGTTGTTAAAATACTGATGACAGAAGGAGGAGAAACTAAAATGATTTCATGACATTTTATCTATATGTACCATTTAGGCGAGACATTTATTTATAGCCCACTTACTTTGTACCAGGCACTGTACTAAGTGCTTTGCATTTATTAACTCATATAATCTTATTAAAAACGCTAGGAGATATACCATTATTGTCTTGTTAAGCTCAATACATTGATCATCTCTTTTGATCCTACAGTGTAGACAAGGTTAAAGTACATAAGCAATATAACTGTCTTCTGTGTCTTTTTTCTATGTCTCTATGACAACAGATCTTTTGTAATATAAAACAGATATCAATATATTAAAGAAATTTTTGTGAATTGACCAGTTCTTTACTTAATAAAATGTAATTATGACTATTAGAATTTCAAGTTTCTATGTCATTACACACATGAATCATTTGGAGAGATTAGCTTTTTCTGGAAATTAGATCTGATTCTTGAGTATTTTAAAATACTTATCAGCTTCTTAGTTCTCGTGCTCTGAGAAGAAAATATATGGAAATTCTAAGTTCATTAAGAGACTATATAAAATCATAGTAATAATGTTTTTCTCCCTCTAATTTGTCCTCTGTGGCTATGGGCAACAGTAATGGCTATATGAAGGAAATGACTGTCACACATTTCTCCCTTCTACTACCGTCCCCAACTTAAAAAACAAAGCTAAGCTAGCTAATAATACCATTATTGAATAAAATGTGACTTGAATTTGTTTCAAATAATTGAGTAGGAAGATATCCTAATTAAGCCTGTGTTTGATAATAACCAGCAAGTATTTTTTGATTGCTATTAAAAGACCAGCATTTTGTTATATGCTTGTGGATAGTTTATGTGTGAACTTGCCTTATATCTTTGTAAAATTCTCTAATGTGTCAAGAAAAATAAGGAATGTGGACAGTGTAAGGAATGCAGAGAGAATGCTAAGATGGTATATAACAAAAGTCATCTCAGTATTCAACCTTGAAATAGGCACATTCTGCCCTTATCCTTCTAGGCATTTGATATTAAATATTTGTGCTTAAGATCTTATTTCCATGTTAGCTACTATTTAACAGGTTTATGTTATATTAAAATATTTTGATTAGGCAGCATACTGATTAGTTTTACTCTGTACAATTAGTTTCTGAAGCAAATACCAAATTAATATCTAGTGTATACCTGCTCAGCCCTTTTTGCTAATTCACGTTGTATCTTCCTCTTTTCTAACATATCCTGCTCAATTCTGCGTTTTCGTTCCTCTTCTGTTCTCTTCCTTTGTTCCTCTTGTCTTTGTTTCTCCATTTCAGCAAATTTACCTTTAACAGTTCCTAAGAATATATGAAACATGTTTGATATTTTGCTATGCTTCCTTTTTTGCAATTTTATTTACAATTTGCCCCTCAAGTGTCTTACCTGTTAGCTTTGGGACGTAAGCCTTTTCTACTTTAGAAGATACCTCTTCCTCATCATCAGAAGCAAGCATTTCTTTAATCTAGATGGTTAAATAAATTAATATGAACATATCCAAACTTTAGACTAGATCATATTATATGCAGAGTTTGCAATTAGTTTATAAACACAGAAAATATTAATTATAGTTAATATGAAATGTGGTTAATGTGAATAACAAATAAAATGTAAAAGATGAAAATGAATATTTGCATGAGAATAAAATAAAATAAAATAACCTCCTGCTTTCTCCTGTTCCATTCTCTCTCTCTAATATATTGTTCTTTTCTTCTTTGCTTTTCGGTTCTAGATCTCCTTTGATTTCTTTCTTCCCTGGCTCTCTGCATGGCTTCAAACTTATCCTTTACATCACCCTTGCCAAGTTTTGGCACATAGGTTTTTGGTACAGGTTTAGATGAAGAAAGCAGAAGCTTCATTAGAAGAAAATAAAGAGAAGAAAGTTAAAAAAATAAGAAAGGAAGAAATTAGGTAAAGATAGATCAGAATAAGCAATATAAGAAATACTTATTGAAACAGACTATAGATAGAAATGAGTTTGAAACCTTTATTTGTATAATCGGAATCTGATTACTTTCTAAAGTCTAAGTATGAAAAATGAAATTACAGAAAATATGAGAGTAAAAATGTTATTAATATAAAGCACAGAAGTCCCATTTTGTAGGTGTGTTCCATTGAAGCTGAAGGCTAGCAAAATATAAAAACTGAAGACTGGATTCCAATTTAAAACAACCTGTATTTTATTGTCCTATTTCATTACATTAAAGATTCAGATTTCATATCTCTTGCTTAAAAGATACCAAGACTAATTTTAATAAGTTAGATGAAGTTGAAAACAAAGCAAAAAGTTTAAGACTAATTCACATAAGCCTAATTCTTGCTTGTTTCCATATCAGCAAAATATCAGCAAATATCAGCACATATCAGCAAAACTGAAGGCCTTTACTTCTCATCTGTGGCTGAGGTGAGCCAAGGTCTTTGTGCACAAGCAGTGATTTTTGTTGTTACTACTGCTATACTGCCCATCTAGAACTTCTTTAAACCCAAGTTGAAAATATGTAAAAATGCTGCATCATTCCAAATAGGAGGTGCCCTAAGAGGAAAATTCCTAAATGACAAAAGAGCTTTCCAAAGAAGGAGGAATCTGTTAAAAGACTAGAGAAATGATTTTCCTCCATCTGAAACCAGGAAAGCAAATTATTTTCATCTTTTTGAAAATTAAACTGATCTCTAAAAGAAGTTTCAGAAAATAAAATTCATTGCCTCAGAACACCAAACCCTTTCTTCTAGTGATAATGGCAAATTGCATAATTAATCTGTGCCATACCCAGCCCCTATTTTATTTTCTACTTATGGTCATTGGCCATTTTAAGGTTTTTTAAAGTTTATAATTTTGGGGTGTCAGCAACTGATTTCTTCTTATTACAATTCTCAGTAACAACAGCCAAGAACCAGAAAAAGGCCTAAGATAAGTTTAATTGCAGATGCTAGAAGAAGTAGCTAAGAAGGATCCTCACCTGAGAGTGAATTATCTCTTTCTCCTTAAAGTATATACATCAATTCTGTTTTTTTAATACTGAAAAAATAACTTCTAAAATTTATCAAGATATTAAAATCTACTCAAGATGCTAGCCATCACATCTACTTCACTATCACTCACAAAACTTAATAATCATGCTTCCTAGATAAGAATCCAAACGAAAATACTGGGCCCAAGACCAGCCTGTGAATTTTACCTCTTCTTATGTTTTACATCTTGACACTATGTCACTATGAACTTCTGTGAATGACCTTTCCACCAGTTGCCCTTTTCAGCAATTCTACAGTCAACCCTATGATTCCCCCATTTTTTAACTTTTAAGACTTACCTCAGCCTTTTGAGAAATATCATTCATGTTTGCTCTATGCAGTCTTGGGGTGATTATGAAGCTTTGTAATTTTTTGCACCTGAAAAAAATATATTAGTATTGAATAAGAATTTTAATGCCTTAATTTTTTAATATGCTGTGTATTTTTTTAAGAGAAATAGCACGTTAATTGCCCCTCAAAGAATAATGACATCATCCAAGCAAGTAATAAATTATAATAACCCTCAGCTTTTCCCAAGATTCAGGGTATAGAAGGTACAAGGTGCAAGGTGTTAAAAGATTCTTGTAAGTTTACAGCCCAGAATAACTTAGTGAACGTATCAAGCACCCTTGCAAAAAATTTGTATTCTGCAGTTATTGGATGTATTATTCTATAATTATCAATGGGGCCAAGGTGGTTGATTGTGTTATTTAGGTCTTCTATGTCTTTACTAAAAAAAAAATTTTTTGGCCTAGTTCTATCAGTCATAAACTATATGGAATTTTCTACTCCTTTATTATTTTATTTAGTTTTGGCTGTGCCCGATCTTAGTTGAGGCACGTGGGATCTTCGTTGAGGCGTGAGGGATCTTTTTGTGGCAGCGCGGGCTCTTCATTGTGGTGTGTGGGTTTTCTCTTCTCTAGTTGTGGCACGCAGGCTCGAGGGCACATGGGCTCTGTAGTTGTGGCGCGTGGGTTGCAGAGCACGTGGGCTCTGTAGTTTGCAGCACGTGGGCTCTAGTTGAGGCACACGAGCTTAGCAGTTGTGGCGCACAGACTTAGTTGCCCCGCGGCATGTGGGATCTTAGTTCCCTGACCAGGGATCGAACCCATGTCCCCTGCATTGTAAGGCGGATTCTTTACCACTGGACCACCAGGGAAGTCCCTGTCTATTCCTTTAATTCTGTCATTTTTGTTTTATGCAATTTCAAACTTTTAAAAATGCATATGTTATGACTATAATATCTTCTTCTTGAATTGGCTCTTTCATCAGTATGAAATTTCCCTCTTCTTATCTCATTGTCTTGAATTTATCTGTTATTAAAATAGCCACACCAACTTTCTTTAGTTTGCATGGTGTATAATTTTCTAGCCATTTACCTTCAACCTAGTTATCCCTTTATATGTAAAGCACATCTCTTGGACACAGCATATAATTGGATCTTGCATTTTTAAAAATTAAATTCTGATAATATCTTTTAATTGCAGTGTTTAGCCCATTAACATTTAAGGTAACTATGTATATGAATGGACTCAAGCCTACCATTTTACTATTTGTTTATTGTTTGCCCCTCTTTTTTTTGCTCCTCTATTATTCTTTTTCTGCCTACTTCTGTATTAATTGAATAATTTTTAGAATTTTATCTATTGGCTTTAAACTTTTAATTAAAAAAATTTTAAGGTATAATAGACATACAATAAGTTATACTTTTTGAAAGTGCACAATTTGATAAGTTCTGACATATGTATATACCCATGACACCATCACCACAATCATGATATAAATATATATATAGAGAGAGGGACTTCCCTGGTGGTCCAGTGGTAAAGAATTTGCCTTCCAATGCAGGGGATGCGGGTTCGATCCCTGGTTGGGAACTAAGATCTCACATGCCGTGGGGCAACTAATCCTGCATGCCACAGTTACTGAGCTCGTGTGCCTCAACTAGAGCCCACGTGCTGCAAACTACAGAGCCCACGTGCTCTGGAGCCCAAGCGCCACAGCTAGAGAAGAGAAAACCCGCACGCCACAACTAGAGAGAAGCCCACTCACCGCAAGAAGATCCCATGCACCACAACTGAGACTAGATGCAGCCATAAAAATTAAATAAATAAATAAATAAATGAAATATTAAAAATATATATATATGTAGGGATTCCCTGGTGGTCCAGTGGTTAGAACTTGGTGCTTTCACTGCTGTAGCCTGGCTTCAATCCCTGGTTGGGGAACTAAGATCCCTCAAGCCATGCAGCGTGGCCAAAAAAAAAAAAGATATGAATATACACATTACACCCAAAAGTTTTCTCAGACCCCCTTTAACCTCCCTTTTCTTCTAGCCTTTCCCACCTCCATCCCTAGGCAGATATGCTTTCTGTCACTGCAGATTAGTTTAAATTTTCTATAAATGGAATCATCCAAGTATATACTCTATTGTTTGGCTTCTTTCACCATGCATAATTATTTTGAGATTCATCCATGTTGTTGCATATATCAATAGTTCATTTCTTTTTATTACTGAATTTTATTCCGTGGTATGAATATACCAGAGTTAACCACTGTTAATCATTCATCTGTGGATGGACATTTAGGTTGTTTCCACTTACTATTACAAATATAGCTGGTATTGGGCTTCCCTGGTGGCGCAGTGGTTGAGAATCTGCCTGCCAAATCAGGGGACATGGGTTCAAGCCCTGGTCTGGGAAGATCCCACATGCCATGGAGCAACTAAGCCCATGTGCCGCAACTACTGAGCCTGTGCTCTAGAACCTATGAGCCACAACAAGAGAAGCCTGCACACCGCAGTGAAGAATAGCCCCCACTCGCGGCAACTAAAGAAAGTCCACGCACAGCAACGAAGACCCAGTGCAGCCAAAAATAAATAAATAAATTTTAAAAATGAATTAAAAAATAGTCTCCTTCTTAAAAAAAAATAAAGCTGGTATGAATATTCACGTACAAGTCTTTGTGTGGACATATGCTTTTTTATTTCTCCTGGGTAAATAAATAAAGTATAATGGCTAGGCCTTATGGTAAATGTATGTTTAACTTTTTAAGAAACTGCCAAGCTGTTTTCCAAGTGGTTGTACCATTTTATCTTCCCACCAATAGTGTACAAGAGCTATACTTTCTCTACATCTTGATCAACACTTGGTATCGTCTTCTTAATTTTAGACATTCTAAATGTGTGTAGTGACATCATATTATGGTTTTAACATTTCCCTAATACCTAATGACATTGAACATCTTTTCATACGTTTCTTTTCTATCTATAAATATTCCTTGGTGAAGGTATCTGTTTAATCTTTTGCCCATTTTATTACTTGGTTGTTTATTTTCCCATTATTAAGTTTTGAGAGTACTTTGTATATTCTAGGTACAAGACATATATCAGATGTATGAATAGGAAAAATTTTTCTCCCACTCTTTGGCTTGTCAAAAGACAAGCCAATTTTTTTTTTTTTTTTTTTTTTTTTTGCGGTACGCGGGCCTCTCACTGCTGTGGCCTCTCCTGCTGCGGTGCACAGGCTCCGGACGTGCAGGCCCAGCGGCTGTGGCTCACGGGCCCAGCCGCTCCGCGGCATGTGGGATCCTCCCGGGGGCACGAACCCGTGTCCCCTGCATCGGCAGGCGGACTCCCAACCACTGCGCCACCAGGGAAGCCCTAACAGTGTCTTTTGAAGAGAAGTTCTTCATTTTTATAAAGTCCATTTTATCAATTTTTTTCTTTTATGGAATGTGCTTTTGGGGTTGTACTGGCACAAAGAACCCAAAGATAATTTATCCTACATTTTCTTCTACAAGTTTTATAGCTTTAGGTTTTGCATTTAGGTCTTTGATCCATTTTCAGTTAATTTTTGTATATGGTGCAAGTTCTCTCTCTTTTTTTTTTTTTTGTATATGGGAAAACAATTTTTCCAGGGCCATTTATTGAAAAAACTTATCCGGGCTTTGCTGGTGGCTTAGTGCTTAAGAATCCGCCTGCCAATGCAGGGGACATGGGTTCGAGCCCCGGACCAGGAAGATCCCACATGCCACGGAGCAACTAAGCCCGTGCGCCACAACTACTGAGCCCGCATTCTAGAGCCCATGAGCCACAACTACTGAGCCCGTGAGCCGCAACTACTGAAGCCCACATGCCTAGAGCCAGCGCTCCGCAAGAAGAGAAGACACTGCACTGACCAGCATGCGCACCGCAACGAAGAGCAGCCCCCGCTCGCCACAACTAGAGAAAGCCCTCTCGCAGCAAAAAAGACCCAACACAGCCAAAAATAAATAAAATAAATTTATAAAAGAAAAAAAAAGAAAAAACTTACCCTTTCTCCACTGAAATGTTTTTGTACCTTTGTCAAAAATCAATTGACCAGGGCTTCCCTGGTGGCGCAGTTGTTGAGAATCTGCCTGCCGATGCAGGGGACACG